CTGACTCAAACTTCACTTGGCGCCAGGCGAAAAAGATGTCTTGAAGACGTGCTTTGACGCTTATCGACCCGTCATTCCCCGATCCGAAGAAACGGCTAGTATCAGGCTGCAATATTAAAAATTTTTACAACTAATTTTAAATATGCATTTTAAAATAAGTGGTTAGGAGTTTCACTAATTGAGAACTAGATGTGGTGGTTTAGTAGTATTGGCAAAAAAAAATTGCTTTTGGTACTACCTGCCTTAACGAAAAAAAATACAGACTAAAAAATGTGAAAAATTGCGACTTTCAACTTTGAGACCAATGTCTTTGCTACAACACCTCATGCAGGTAAGTATTCGACAACCGGCTAAGACTGATTTTTCTTTTTTTAAAATTAATGGATCTTCGTTTTCAAGGAAATATATTTAGTTACACGGAGGAAAATTTTATCTCCAGCACATTCTGGCAACTCCCCTCACTTGCCCCATGGGAAGGGCGCCGTTTTCATTGGGATGCATTCGTTGAGAAACGAAACAGAACGACCAACGAGACCGCTTCACCACGCGACCACGAATGGCCATTTTGTCTGATCTGGGCGAGTTCGTTAGACACTTCACGCTATGTTTTGGTTAGAGAGTTCTGGAATCTTGGATATTCTAACGGATCGCAGGTACAATTGCATAAAGCATCATGAAACCATATGAAAACCATTGAATTTCTTACGCTCAGGGATGCAAAAAGTGACACATTTCGCAACCAGCGAATCATGGCAGGCATGAGGCGAATGCCAAGAGTGATGACTTTCCTCCTTCTTCTTACTCATTGCCTGCTGTTTTAAAAGCCGGCTCCAGACTACGCGGCATTCGCCGAATATTACTCGCCGAATACCGAATATTTGGCAAGTCCCGCGTAGTCTGGATGGAACATTCGCGTCCACTTGGCTCGTGTTGACGCAAGGCGAGTCACTCGGCTCGGCATTCGCCCCAACCCGCTGAAAGTCGGTTTTTGTGGCACGAGTCAAAGGGATCGCGAGTACGAAGCCGAGCGTCCATCGCGACATCGGAGCAACATCGGGGTGCCATCCAGACTACTCGTCCTCACTTGCCGAATGTTCGCTATAGTTTTGTAGGAAGGGGGCGAAGAGGTGCAGCGTTTTCCAGTGTTTTTTCTTCACTTGGCGAACATTAAATTTGTCCTATCCCATCAGATATTCGTTATTTACCAAATGACGAGCCAAGTACGACTTTCACGAGTAGTGTGGCGCTGTACACTCGTGGAAATATTCGAATCTGCCCGTCGATTCCCGAACCCCGAATATTCGTTACTCGGCTCGGCACTCGGCGAATGCCGCGTAGTCTGGAGCCGGCTAATTTAGAAAGACCTTTTTTGGCTACAAACTTTTCGATGTGTTTGAATTTCTCTGGCTCTTGATTAAAAATTGTCGAGATTCTTCTTCTTCTTTTTTTTTGGTAGTCTGCATGGCAAGAAAAAATACCTATCTTACAAATGGTCATAACCGGAAAAACCAATCAACGTAAAATTCAAGGACTTGAAAGGAGGAACGGCAATAAGGGCCGTTCCTGGGCCCACCTTAGCTGGATTTCCTCAACTCTAAGTACTTAATTTTTTGCTCATTTTAGAACATATATTTTAAAGAATGCATCAGGATCTCGTCATTTTTAGTCTTTTCCTAGGTCTAATACTGGCCTAAAAATGAGGCCATGAGTGTCGAAAAATGCGCATTTTTCGCCAAAATCGACCTTTGTCCAACGCTCATTTGGCCCAGTAGGTAAGCATAAGACCCAAAAAGAGACCAAAAATTACCAAATCATGATTCGTTCCGTAAAATACAGCGATCCGCAAAAAATTGGAGAGTAGGTCCAATTCCCCTCCTTTCGAAAAAAACCAACCCCCAAAAGAACACAAATTCAAGTTCCTAGAAGTATTCTGGGACTTTCCAGGGCATCACGAAGGATCCCAGACCGCAAATCCTTTGCTTGAGGCAACAATAGATGGTGTGGTGTCCCATGCACATATTGCACATTGCGCTCACTGCACGGGGACGGTCGCGCGCCTTTCAACACCCCACTCCAACCATCCTCCCGCGTCGCTCCATTCCACCCTCCCTCCATGCCGGCGCACCCCTTTTAATCCCCGCATTCTCCGGACAGCGCGAATCTGTTTGCTTCTTACTGTCGCCGAGGCCATACCCCGAAAAATTAGTGGCAGACTAGCGCGTGCCCAATCGTAAATTTTCTGTCCCTCGCATCCCGGCCGCGGTGCATTCCAATGAGATATCGAATCGCCCTCTTTCCCTCACTCGGGCCCGGATGTAAAGTAGATGTGATCATTACCGCAGATGCATGGATAGTTGGGCTTAGCTGTGACGTAAATGGTGCTTTATTCATTTTCTATGTCTTTCTCGTGCATTCAAGCCAGCTCCACTTAAAGCTGTCATATTTTCGTTACTACGCCCATGTTTATTAGTTTCTAATTTATTAATATAAATAGGTACTGCATCTTTCTGCTTCAGTCTGGAGATGCGAGAGGTGGATTACGCAGCCATATGAACGCCATATCGTCACACACACACCCCCCCCCCCCCCCNGGCCAAACTATCACAAGCGCCATGCGACGTTAAAAATTTCCACCACCATTTCATTTTTATAATAGAGAAATTGTTCAACAAAGCGGTCCGAAAATCTCACTGACATTTCTTCGCGCTGCCGATAATTTTGAGTGAGATTTTTAAACAAATTCAACCGACAATTTCTCTGTAAAGGAATAAAATGGCGGCGTAAATTTTTAAACGTCGCATGGCGCTTGTGATACTTTGGCCGGAAGGTGACGATATTTGGATCGTGACATTAAGTGGTCTAATGCTACGACGAAAAAAAATATAATAATCTGCTGTCTGAAAAGCTGATACCTCCTCAACAATTCAACATTCCCTTTATCTTCTTGCAATGTAAATTTGTCGAGATGTTCGTGGTTGCATACATTCTTTCCAGAATTTTATGTAAAAATGCATGCAAGCTAAAATGTTTAGAATAAAGTCTTAAAAGTAGTTATCAAAATTTCATTTTGACTTGGAGTAAATGGAAATCGCCCATAAACGGATACTTTTCTGCTCATCATTTTGAACTTTTGAAGCATGTTGAAGTTCGCTGCAAATATACTTTTTGTAAGTACAAAAAGTTCCGTCTTATCATCATAATCTGCTGTTTTAGGAATCATGTACCTATCGAAAATGAAATGAAAGAAGTTCTGTGATAAGAACTTAAGTGAGGTGCCAAGTCATGATTCTAGGTCTTTATTTTTCTAATACTAATATGTGCTTCAGTCACTTTAAGTATTATAACAACCACATACTGCGCCTCATCGTAGATCATGATTTGAGTAAAAGTTTTGGAGGTTTTACCTGATATTCCTAATTTTTCTTGCAGTCAGTTTCTACTGTCCTTTTTTAATATCATTAGAACATTTCATCAGACTCCCATTAGACGAAGTAATTACTTCGAGAACTATTCTCTAGGTTCCTACCATTTAAGGACTGCCACATAGTATTTCCTAAGTATTTCAGTATTCCGTGTTATTTCTAGACGATTACTAAAGTCCTGAGCAACTGATATTATTAGGCCTCTGGAAAACAATGATTAGGTAAGTATTGAGAAGGACTTCTCAAACTTCATGAGGACCTTCAGGTACAAATTTGAGGGATTTTTTCAAATATTTGTGTGAGAAACCTACGTGAATTTTGCTCTGGATGCCAAAAAAACTTAGGAAAATTTTTAAGCCTCCTGCTCTATTTTGACAAGTTACACTACTCTCTCTAGCAGTGACAACTTTGATATTTTTATTAAGACTCTTCTGGATCTTGTGTCTGCTAAATCCTGCCCAACTAGCCAAAATTAATTATCTACCAAGTTGACATTCAAGTATATCACCTGGTATACCTACATATCAAATGATAAACCAATTGTGAAAGATCTATTGACTGATTTCTAGATGCAATGCGCTACTCTTAGTACATTTAGCATAGATTCATCCTTGCCAAGGGCAGTTTTAAAATCAAACAATGAAGAAAAGAAGTGAACAATCTATTACTTTTCGGCTTCATTTGGTTGGGGTTTAAGTGCTTGCTCTGCAAACTAAAGTCCCAAGTTAAATTCCTTACCAGTTAATTTCCTTACCTTCCATTCCTTACCATTTAAATTCCTTATCCCTTACTAAACCGAAGTTTGATAGTCCCAAGCGCATTTTCTTTTCATTTTCATACACTTCACCCAGCCTTCAAGGGCTAATCTCATCTGTCTTACATGGCGACCCAAGTGCCTATTCCTACCTCATTTTGTTGACCTAAACATACAAACTCTACTTACTGAGAGAACTATAATCCTTCCACCTACAACATCTAGGTTGTTCGCTCTCCCCCCAGTTATCTCTCTAGAATTTTAGCAATTCCTTCCATGGCCTACTCCTAGACCTTTTTAGTTGCTGGGGTCCCAAGCATCCCAAGTTGCCTTGGACCAGTCACTGAGTAGGCAAGGTAAGTGCAGGATTAGCACTGGGATTACTTGAAATACATGTAAAAACAAAGAAAAATCCGTATCCTGACTGCTCAAGTAATGGGTTAGAAGCTGATTAGCTATTCCAGTTAGCTGGTTAGCTATTCAGTTAGACTGCCTCTTATGGAGCGTTTGAAATATTCTGATTTTGAGGGAAAGTTAGTTAATTAACAACTGCAGCTTACTAACCCTTCACTGACATCAAAGACATTTCTTTTCCTTCTAGATGATGCATTTTTCATTTCCCCCCCCCCCTTAATTAAACAAACCCTTAGGAGCTAATTCTGCTCTTGGTCCCCCATCCTCTTGCGCCCAGCTTCATATGACCCTTGCCAGAGACCGTCATCCCAGGAATCGAACCTAGGATTTCCTGATCGTAGGGCCAGCGCTACAACCACTACAGCAAGTGACCAAATAAAAAGTTCAGTACGTATCATTGCTGGACTCACCATGGTGGAATAAGGCTGATTGCTGAGCTGGATACCATCTTGCGACAACTTTTCTTTGAGGAGAGATTTCAACTGAAGCCTGGGGATTCTAACCAACTCGGCTTTGCCCTCCTCATACTCATCATGGTAGGCATGCAACTCTTGGACACTGCCCGTGCTGGAGGATCCCGCAGAAGCAGAATTCTTGGACGGAAGCTCCTTATCAGAGGTTTTCCCGGTACCCGAGGAGGCCCTGGAGGACCTGATACTCGCACTATCACACAAACATTCCTCCTGGATGGCCGCGGATTCCTCGAGAGTGAAGTAAACAGACGCGGCACCCTCTTCGCGGAGAGTTCGCACTGATTGAAGCAATCTGTGCCGATGGGTCGAGTTAAAAACACCGATAGCATCTAAATCCGGATCACCGACTTGCTTGCAAATCTCCAAGTCATCGTAACCGTTATCAAGGAAGGACTCGGCGTACTGGCCCAAATGCAGGGACTTCAACCACTCGACCACGATATTGCCACTGCTTGTGGCCGATGACATGGTGAAAACACACACGAACACGACACGAAACACACAGAGCACATTTAGCACGACGTTCCCATCGCGGGGACGAGTATAAACACAAATTCAACACGTTGCAACGGACGCAGACGCGAAGCGGATAAGTCACTGACTCCGCCACTCACGAATTCACGCGACTGAAACGGAATCAACAAACAGTCAAACACGGGCCGCGGCCGCGGCAGCAGCAGCGCCGAGCAGTCGCCGTGCAGACATATTGACATTCTCCTGCGGCTTCCCAAAACTCCCCACAGAGTGCGTTAGTCATAGAATGCATGCTTCCGTTGCGTTGCAGTGTTGCATTTCAGACTGCACGTGGTCGCGGATCCGATTACGGGACCTGGATAAAATGAATGCCTCACTGCGAAAACTGCCGAGCTTCATGAAAATTGAATTTCTGCGTTAACGCTGGTAAGTTCAATTTGGGGTCATGCACATCTTGTTTCATTCCCATTTTAAATACAAAAAAAGTAAGCACGGTTTCTCATTGGTTTCAAGAAGCGCCAAACTCCACAGTTGAAAAACGTTCCATGTTTTATATACTTTTAAGGGGCTGAAAGATTTCTATGTTTTGCTATGCGATTATTCTCGGGAGTGGAATGAAATCCGTCAAAACATTCGTTTTTACCAAGAAGGTTCAGCTAAATTGGTTTTACATGGAATTTTTTTTTTTTTTTTTTTTTTCACAGCACTGGTCACTTTTTGAAGCCGTTTAATTCAAGTTTGATTTGGCTCTTCATAAATTTTATTGAAAAAATATCTACAGAGGATTTCATTTTTGTGAAAATCGGTTTTTTCAAAAGGCAATGTCTCTTAGAGGACTAATTGACGAACTGACAAAAAAAAGTCCTTGTGTGCAATGAGGCTAAGTGAGTTCTTATTTTTATGAAAAACAACTCTGGATTACTCAATTCGTTCATCAATCAGTAATTTTGCTCAGAGCCTGACGAAATACAAAAAAAGGGTTTAGCCCAAGGGATTGAACAATCTCGTAATTATGAAACAACCTTAAAATCTAAGTTTATAAAATACAAATTGTGGAAATTTGCCTGAAATGTGCCTCTAGATGTAACCCCTCTGTTTTAGCCAATAGTTCAAAGTAAAACTAGAATTTCAGCAAAATTAATTGGACACTGCGATGTGTATAATACATTCATTATCAGTGTGGATTCACCTTAACTGAATATTGTTCCAAATTGATGATTTCATAAGGTAAGAAAAAAAGACTTCAGAAAAAAAAGTAGAACAAGAGGAAGGATTCACTTAGAAAAATTTATTTCATTTATTAAAATTGAAATTGATCATTACATGAAATGAAAGAACAGGGAAATATCTCGCACTTACACTATCTTCCACAGAAAATAAATTAAGACATTATTAAAAAATAATACAAGACAGATTAGGATTGGGAATTCTGATCAATTTAATTCCATGGGAGCACTGACTGACATCAAACATACATTGATGATAGAAAATAATCAGGGGGGAAAACGATAATTTAAAAGGAGTTAAAATAAAGAGCTACAATGATAAGACTACCAGTCCATAGGCTCATTTCTGCAACAATTCTGAGAAATTGGATACCTCAAATTTAAGTGTGATCTTAATGAAACGGAGGATTTTCTGCTATATTGCTTGATACTGGATAATTGCTAAAGATTCTTTGATCAAATGATGTGAAATCAAATTAAGCAGATTGGATAAAAATTGATAAGATATATTGTCTTGACTGGAACAGTTTTAAACATAAAACTTACATTTTCAAACTTGATTAAATGAGATAAAAATTAAAGCATTTACAGTGATTCTCATCAATGCAACAAAATTTAAACTGATTGATTGATCATTGGAAAAGGGGAAAACAGGAAAGTGATATTTTAATGGCTAAAATATAGAATAAATATTATGATCATTTGAAAAAGGATTCATACACTTAAAACAATAGGGTGATTCTCGTCCATCATATAGCTGGAAAAAATTGAAGTGGAAGGATGATAGCATAATCAAACACGATGATTTAATAAAAAGCAAAACCGAAGTTATAATCGAGCTTGGTCAAAATAATTATCCTCCTTCCAATATTCAATGAGTAGATAAAAAACTATAGATTAAAAATATGTGATAACAACGAAATGTGATTGACGATCAGTGCGATAATTGGACTAAAATTATCTACTAATTATGCAAACCAGATGAGTTAATTATAATCTGCTCGAGAGGGTATCATATACCTTGGATAATTGAAAGTAAAAAATTACACTCATTCTTATATTTTCCGATTAAGAGCACTTGAAATGAGCCTTATCCATTTCTTAGTATTCTTGAGATACTGGAATATTTTTCATCTTCATTGATCCAGAATGATGCTACTTCTGTTTAAAATGCCCAGCAACTCAGAAAAGTTAATGCTTCATTTGTATTTTTGACAAGCGAAGGCCAAGATGATTGGCAATTCATTAATTTTCACACAAGTTTATGCTTCTTAGCTCCTGAGCTAAAAGACATTTTACTCGAGAAGGATTATATGCAAACCTTACATAACACTCAGATTTAGTTATCATTATTATACTAAAAAAAATCAAAACAAACGAACGAAGGGGGCATAAGACGAAAATAAAATTAGATGAAAGTTTCAAAAGTCTCCTTCACCAATGTAGTGTTTCAAATATAAACACTGATCCACAGACAAGAGTTGATGCATCAAAAAAAAATTGAAGGACAATTTGGTGGATAAATGCTCATGTTTTTCCTATGTGGACTGAATTATCACTTGTGTTTTAGTGAAAGAATTCATTAATAATCCATGAGGAAAAGCACAGATAATATAAAAGGCAATAATTTAAGAGGATTAAAGACAACTTTCGCAATCATCTAATTAAAAGAAAAGGTTTCGAAATTTAAACTTCTGATTGATTGAATGGAATCAGCTGAGTAGATGCTTCAAAATCACTTGATAGAAAATTTAAACTAAAATTCGTGGCTAGAGCAACTCTGATAAACAACCTCGTCCATCTAAAATCATTTGCTCATAAACTTTAAGTCTACTGAAGCTCTGATTTGCATCATGTTAGAAAAATATTCTTTGGATGATGAAATCAAAAATAAAATTATCGACGTAACGATTAAATCTAGCAGCTACAGAGAAAATAAACGGCAAACAAAATTACAACTATGTACAACTAAATTGAAAAAGGATTGAAAAAGGTAACTCAAAATGGCAAGAGATTTCATTGACAGTACGAAGCCAGTTGGATCACAAAAGCATTCAAAGAAAAAACATTCATGATCAAAAGATCTTTTGAACAACATGCGAGGTAATTCGTTTGTTCTAAGAAGCTTGAGCCATAATTCTTTTGTTTAAATAATGTTCATGAAACCAGAAATAATAAAGGTTATTGACTTCATTTAGGTGAATTCTTTAAGAATAGTTTCAATGAACTTACAGGAATACTATGTCCATTTTATTAGACTTACACAGAGACGGTGTCTTCTTTCTCGAGTTGGGAATGCTAATTAGTAGCAGAGATCAATTATCCACTTCTACAATGAGAAAATGAAGTTAATGGTGTGTAGAATAAAAAAAATGATGAACTTAATTCAATGAAAAGGAAAACTTACGGGGAATGGTGAGTTTTGCTAAAGTTTGCCATTTTAAGTTAACGATCTTAACAAATACTTTAGTAGTCCTCCAAAGAACTGTCTCAGAAAATTTCCCTACAGAGATAGTTTGAAATGAAATTATGATTGGGTGAAAAATAATTTCTCTAGGAGAACAATGAATTCAAGACTTTGCAAAAGCTGCGATACTTTCATGCGAAAAGACTTAGAATTAGGAGTTTCACTTAGCAGCGAACAAACAGGCTGAGAGAGTCACTGTGCAAGAGACAATGGATTACTCATTGTAAAAAAATTTGCGAATCAAACTAGAGTAAAGAATTTTACAATACTAGACCAGCAATTTTGGCTGCTCCCACGGAAAAATGTCGCGTCCAAAGTGTCCATAGGTGCTCGTTTTCTGGTAAATTGGGTTACGAAGGTTCAGGTCTCTGAAAACAATTAGAGACAAAGTAAATTAATTGAGGCTTATGCTAAATAAGAAGAGGAATATCATGGCCCGGATACCAAGAGAAAGAGTTACACTAAAAGACTTTTGTGGTTGTAAAACACTTTTAAATTTTTTGATCACCCGATAAACAAAAATAATGGGTTAATCTCCCTTTTTAACACACTGTTACTATCCACAGTAAAGCCTAACAATTTTTTAGTGCTCGTAAATTTTCCAATCACTACTGGAGTACCATCTCATAGAAAAACAATTCAGCTGTCACTTCATGCCAAAGAAAACATTACTTTCGATTTTGCGGCCTTGTACTTATCGAAATTATTACTTAATCAGTATTGCGCTTTGAACAATGATTTTTTAATCTAATGTTATGCCCATCCTCTGAGTGCAAGAGGACACTTGTACTCAAATGATACAAATTTTATGAAGAAACAGGAAGATCAATGACTTACCGGACAATTTTACCAGGCCGCAGGTCAAAGTTCCTCTTGACAATTTCAAGAAGTTCCTTCTGAGTTTTCTTTGCTGTTCCGTATTCAAATAAAGTAATGGAGATGGGTTCTGCGACTCCAATGGCATAAGAAACCTGTCGATCAAAAATGAAAAAGTTCATTCTCATCCATTTGAATTAAACGTAGGTAGGTAGAATTTTTTGTTACACCAACAGTTAGAGCATAGCAACATCAATGGCAGAACTCCTCAAGTATCTTAGTTCCCTATGTTGTGAACTTTCAATAATATTTTATATTATGTCGAGAAAATATATTTACATATGATTTTAATTTAATATATTATAATCATATTTTATTATTACAAAAAGAACTACTAAAGGTCATTTCTTAAAAACTTTCTGGGTTTTTCTTCTTTGTACACAGCAAATTCTGAGATAACTTCAAGAAATGATGTTGATTTGTTCTCTTTTAAAAGAATAAAAACATTGGAGAGATTTTCTAACACCGCAAATAAAGGACATAGTCTGGTAGTCTCACTGTCGATATTTAACACTGCATTGACCGCAGGTGAGATGAAAATACATACCGAATAGACAAGATCTGAACTAAAGAAAACATAAAAAGTTTTCACTTGAAACTCATAATTAGAAAACCGATTTGCACAACAGGAAATTCAGAAATCAACTTCTAAATTAGATATTAAAAAGTATTGTTAGCACAGATCAAGTGGAGGATGGATTATTGGATTATGCGAAGGACATCATTAGTATTTCTTCTATTTGACAAATGTTGATTGTACACGATTATATTTGGTTCAAGATTAGATTTCCAGACTTTCCAGGGTGTGATTTTTTTTCCCTGTGAAATTTAGAAGATGTAATAAGTAGCTTTGTTGTTTAATTCATATTCTGTTTAATGGCCCATTGGATGCTACCGGATAACTCTCGAGCTCCGTCTGATTGGAGTCCCCTTATTATTGAGAGTTAAGGCATAAGAAATCCATTTCTGAAAGCCTCTTGAATTTTAGGCCTCCGAAGTGTCACAAACCGGAAGAAAGATTACATTTTCACCAATTCCAAAGATTATAAACAAGAATGAATAGGGGGAATTAGGGGTACGTTAGGAAACAAACAGAATGAGAGAGAGAACAAAGGAAAGGAATTAAAGAATGAGTTTATCAAAGATTACAAAAAATGTTCTATCTGTGTAATCTTCATTCCGATGTGTGGCATCCATGAACCGACTTGTCTTAAATCTTCCTACAAAGGGACTCAGGTCTACTCAGCCCCATGTGTGGCTCAGTTCTGAACACAGAACAGTTTCCTTATAAAATGACAGCCCTTACTTCTCATTAATTTGAAAATTATAGAATAAAGGAAATCAAACTCACCTGGACAAGGCAACGTCTGCAGAGTCCTGATTTAACTAGGGATTTAGCAACCCACCGCGCGGCATAAGCAGCTGAACGATCCACTTTTGTGAAGTCCTTGCCAGAAAATGCACCACCACCATGTGCTCCCCATCCACCATATGTGTCCACAATGATCTTTCGGCCCGTTAAACCAGCATCACACTACATCAATAAGAAGGTTGAATTATTACAAAGAATTGTTCCTTCCTGCATAGTATCAATTAAAATGCCTTAAGACTATCCAAGATTTCTATCAACAGAATAAGCCTGTTCAGTAATTTTTATTTTAATTTCTTGCACATCTGAAGTGTAGACTGCACACAATTCATACCAACTTTTCCGTATTTTTTAGAGCAATTACAACCCATGAAATTAGTTTCCCTTCGAATAATAAAATAGCAACAGAGATTTTGAGGCAATGTAACTTAAATATGCATTTATGCAGTTTCAACGTTGCTATATGTATTGATCGCAGATAAACGGTCATATCAGGCATTACATTAAATGCCTAGGCTGATTGTCAAATTTTGAAAGTTTACAAAGTTTTAAATGTTTTCAGAAAGATCTCTAGATTTTCAATATTTCTAAAGTTGGAATTAATCGAATTAGAAGCTATTATTATAGGTTCTTTTCTAAAATGTACCTTTCATATTCTTGACTTGGGTATGGTAAAAACTCTGACATTCATAAAAAGCTACACATTTAGAGAAATGTGTCCATTGAAGGGCTAAAAGTCATTAAAACAACGATAGAATGATGCAAATTTTCTTGAAGAATTCCTTCCTGCGAAGACAAAAAATTATTTTGTCCAAAATAAGCAACAGACTTAGAATTGCAATCTGAGTAAGAATAATTGTGTAATTTAGCTAGTGTATTGCCGGAGAGCCTGATTTGACCATTGGCCTGCAACACATGTTATTGAAACTCAAGAATTTTCATACACACAAGTTGAGCAGGGTTGCCATAGTTTTTTCATCTTCAAATTCCCCGACTTTCCCTGACTCCAAAATTTTCAGATTCCCTGAAATTTCAATGAAACTTGTTTTCCCTTTAAATTACGCTCACTTCTGCTAAACGCACCACAGTCAATGCCCTGACTTCTCCTTTGAATTTCCTGACTTTTTGACTTTTCCCGGTCGGCTCAAATTCCATGACTTTTCCCGTTTTCCAGATTTTCGCCAACCCTGTTGAGTTATTTACTAGTCTCTTTGAGGGTGAAATAACTCTTAAATATTATCCTTGGATATTTGCATGGTGAGAGAAAATAATAGGAGGGTCCTAGAACTGATGCGAGAAAAAAACTTACTCTTGGTCCTCCCAGAACAAACTGGCCGCAAGGGTTGATGTGGAACATGGTTTTGTCATCTAAATACTTTGTCGGTATCACTTCTTTGATGACTTTGTTCATTATTTCGGTGCGAAGTTCTTCCAAGGTAATTTTTTCCGAGTGTTGAATTGAAACCACAACTGTATGCACTCGCAGGGGCACACAGGCACCATGCTGGAAGCAATACTCACAGGTGACCTGTCAACAAGGAAAAAAGTTGAGAACTACAGGGATAGAAATGTAAAAGATTATCAAAACTCAATATTTTGGTTTTGTTTCTGAAGAAGTTTCTTTCACTTCTTTCAAACGCAAATCGAATGAATCTTCATGAGATCTCTGGGATCTTAACACCATGACTGTAAAAAAAGTAAACGTAACAAAAGTATGGCTAAACAGTTAAAATAGAGCTAAAAAGGGATTAAATTGTTTACTTGATCCACAGCACATGATGAGATTGAGCCTCTCTGCACTTAAAGCACCTTGATAGTGCAACGGATTCGAGCAGTAGAATCCACTAAAAAGTTGGGGAAGAGTCGCTGAGTAGACTCAATCACCTATAAAACCATATTGCTAAGACGCAGAGTCTGGGTTGCTGTCTGCATGGGAAAAACAAGCATCACTTAGAAACGGTGCTCTGTGTTTCCTGTCCAGACAACACCTCAGCTGAAAATTGCAAGGATAAGACAAAATGATGTCATGCAGAGTCTTAGCTCCTCGGTTCCCATGTGAACGCAGTCAGCCCGGAAAATCAGAGTCCCGTGTAAGGCCCTGATTGGCCCGGAGGATTGGGCCGCAGGAGAGAAGGGAAGCTAAAGCCACGCTAATCGCAATTTTCAGAAAATCTCTGAAATCAGTCTCGTCTTAGCTCACCAGCAATCCTGGCCAGGCCGCGAATCGGCCCGCCACGCCGTGTCTAAACGTACTCCGCGCGGAAGCCGCGTGTAGGTTTGAGAGAGTTTCGAGTGTGGTTCTGATGATGTTCTGATTCTTTCTGTTCTTAGTGTGATGAGTCTATCGAAAGTATAGAATAAAAGTGTCGTCGAAATTGTCAAGAAGTGTAGTTCGTTTTGTCACTGTGCCCTACCTACTTTTCACTTCGAGGAGCAGCGGAAGGCTCCTCGCCCATTTTTCCCCAAAAACTCATACTTCCGCTGGTGGAGCTACCCCCGCCCCCTTTTTAGAAAGAGATCGAGTGTGTGTGCGCTTCTCTTCCTTTCTCTCGCGCGTTCCAATAGTGAAATATACGTTTGCATTTTTTGGTTCAATGCATGCATCTTAACTTCTTTGCAGTAAGTTATACATGGAAAAAATGATGCCAATATAATTAAAAGCTTTTGCTTGGGGGGGAGATGCTTCAGGGGAAAAGTGCAGGTCTTTTTGAAAGCGTTGAAAAACTGCAAATTTCCTGGAAGTATGAATTGTAGAAAAGTGGTTCTAGACCAATTTCCATGAGATGATTAGGGGGAAAGACCTTTCCTAACTATTCATCACAGAGAAAACACTCACCTGGGTCTTAGAGTCCGGTCGTGCCCACCAGAATACTCCACTGCGTCGCATATCAGCTATTCTTTCATTTAATTTATGAGCCAGAACAACCGTTAAGGGCATACATTCTTCAGTTTCATCTGTTGCATAACCGAACATCAAACCCTAGAAGAAAGAAAGCAAGCTTAGTTGAGTCATGAAACATTCCGGGGGAAACTTTGCTGCTGGAAATTGAAGCAAACGGCAGAGCATTTCTTTGTCACATGAATTCTTTAACCTAATGAAAAATCCCATAATTTCAGAATTCATCCAGCAAGCAGGGTTAAATGTGGGCTTAAAGGACTTCTAAGAGTAAATTTCAATGGAGCTTCTTCAATATTTACATGCTTTTCAGGTGATTAACAGGAGGAACTTGAGACGAAGATTACACCTTTAAATCTTTTGAGGGAGGGGTTTGGGCGCCGAGAGGGGAAATTCTGTAACATCTATTCTTCAAGTCCAACATTTCTTAATATAGTTTAAATATACGATAGATTTAAAGAGAATCCTAAATTAAGAGAACTATTTTGGTGTATTTCACAAGATGATAACACCACCTTTGGTTTAGGTTGCAACAGCAAAAAGATAATTATACCAGAGAATGTTAAGTATTGGTAAGACTTATCTTGCTTTTAAAAGAAATCTGTAAATTTGCAAATTATTCTCATTCAGTAAGTAAAGAAGAAAAAAATAAATCCGATTATATTTGCAGATCAGATAATATGTTCTCTGCTCTGCTTTAAGGTGAATATTATAAAAGTTAGATTGACAAGATCTTTGGTTGTTCAGTTCTCTTGTGCCCTAATCTCTACCTCTCCGCACTCAGCAATCGTTATTGAAAAAGTAAAGGGGGCTTAGTATTGAAGCATTGTGAACTAGTGTGATGTCCTTTCGCTGACTCTCTCCAACTAATATTATCCCTGACTTTCCCGGTTTTCTCACTCAACAGACACCTTGGACTGGTAAAGCCACCAAAAAGCTGTTCTGAAATTGAAAAGAATATTTTTTCTGATGGCGAGATAACAAGAATTACTGAGCTTCAAGAGATGACACTAAACTCACTGATAATAGGGTAAGAAAAAATAATTTCTTGCGTGTCTTCTTTAAGTCTATTTTTAAGGAATTTGGACTTAGTTCAAAGCTGAGAGTAATCTGATCTGCAAATATATTTTCATTTTTCCGTCTTCAGTGTTTTTTTCTGACGGCAAAATGCGATGGACTCTCTGGATGACCCCCTTACACTCATATAGTTCAGTTGTTCATCCATCCTTCTTCCGTGTATACCACTATATTTGAATACCTTCTGAACAGATTGAGGCAAGTATCTCCTTGATTGAAGATACTTCTCCATCTGCAGAACATTTTCTCTCTCTCTTTGATGGAAAAATGTAAAGAGATAAATAATAGTTTTAAGGTAAGGCTGAGGGATACAGTTGAAATCAAAACTTGGGGAAAAAGAGGAAAGGAAAACCTTACAATGCGAAGGAATCGGGATCATGCGTATGGATGTAAGAAAAATCAAGCTCTTAGGCTTCCTAAGACACAAAATTGATCAATAGCTCCTCATGAATAATAATTGTGAGGTTCGTCCAATGAAAAACGATACTGGAATAGTCTCTGGCTTGAGGTGCATTTTTCACGATCTGTCTACAGTTAGTCACCAAATTATTTTTGCTAGGATCATGGACGAATATTTGAACAAGTAACAAGTTTAATTCAAAATTTACTTGCTAAATCTTAGTCATGACACAAAAATGATGTGTGTAAATTATAACTGACAAAATGTGGCTACTGATGATACAATGAGTTTAGATATCATGAGTTTGACCTTTACTATTATACCTAGCAACCAACTTTCTTCAATTATTAAGCAAGGAAGGAAAGAGATACATTCTAAGCTGGTTCTCTTGTTTGTAAAGAAAGAGTGAAAAAGAAACTGAATATAATAATTCAAATGGTTCAAAAATCAGCACGATCAGAGGGAACTAGAAGGACATGAAGTCACACTAGGCACAGCAAGTGCTTTGTTTGTTTAACTGTTTTTAAGTGTGTATTTTTTTGTGTCTAGGGTTGCTGGCATTTAAGACAACCCGTAAGTATCTTCAGTACTGCTTTATGAACCTTCAAAAGAAACGGAAATAAAACGGAAAGCAACTCATGTTACAAACAAACTTACTCCACCTGTAGCTTAAAAATGTCAGATGACAGAATCATTTTATAAAAATCAGGAAATGAGTAAAAAGCTTAAAAATCAAGAAAAGATTACTTCCAGACGTATACTGTTCTGGAGTTTGCGAGATTTCACACATGTTGATACAGATTACAGCATCATTTGGAAGATTTTGTGAATGTGCTTCCAACAAAATTTCTAAAGGAAATTATCATGTTTTATACTTAGGTTAAACTGGTTTTTGAAGATTGATGAAGCTGTTTTAAAATTGAAATTAGTTTGATTTATAATTTGCCTGTGAACTGAACCAATCAGAGTACAGGCAGACAATGATCAAGTTACAGCCCTGACAAAATCAATATCATTAGCATAGAGGTAGGTTGTTTCATAGTTCAAAAGACTACACGTCAAAACACTCCGTAAAATGTAGTTCATCTTACCAGATTTAATCATCCATACTTGGTCTTTTAACTTTTTTGAAACAATAATAGTATTGTCAAAATTAACCTAGGTCTTTTTGACAGCTACCGCTTCAAAATTTGACTGTCATATTACAACTGCACTTATGAATTACACAGGCTTCTCTTTCAACAGAAATGAGAGACCTGTTGAAAAAAGTCAAAAAGGGGGAGGGGAGAGGGAGAGATAGAATGAAGGAGTGAAACAGGAAACAGGCGTCCAACTCCTACCTGGTCACCAGCTCCTACTTCTTCTTGCGATCTATTAATATGAACACCAGCAGCAATGTTAGGTGACTGTTCGTCGATAGCAAGCATCACAGCGCATGTTTGGTAATCAAAACCTTTGTAATCAAATCGTAAAACAATAAAATGCAACGTTACAACCAAAGCAGCATCCAAGTCATATTTCAACAGGTTCAAGCTATGATGCATAGACTCTCGTCGTTTTTCAAATCCGTTTTACCCATTCAGCAATACCTAAAACTGAGTTGGATGAGGGGGAAAACTGTAGCTTAATTTGAATCCTTTCTCACTTGGCAAGAGGGGGAAGGTGCTAAAAGCCAATAAAATCACACAAAATTGCGACAGAATTTAGAAACAAAATTCCCTGATTTTCTTAAAACATAGTTTGGTAAAATTCCCTGACAATTATGAATATGCTAATAGATTGAGGAGACATAATTAGAAGTTGTTTCTATGCAAAATCTGTTTTTCAAAACGTCAAACCCATTAAGGTAAACAAATAGAGATGAATTAACGATTTTTCCTGGACACCTTCGTCATTTCTCCTGACATTTCCAGGTTTTCCCTGACTTTTTAAAATTCCCTGATATTTGTAAGTTTTCCCAGTATTACCGGACCAAGGCAGCCCTCATCACATAGTGAGCATCAACTTTTAAAAAATTAACACATTAAGTCTGAAAAATTTAAATATTTACTCTCAAGGGTGAAATATTTAAAGGTTATGGGGAAGAGGGTGAAATTATTGTAAAGTCTTGTTATTGGGATGTTTTTGGAGAATTTCTAAAGTTCTTCTTGACAAGATAAAATTGACACCCTCTGGTCATAATGTATTACATATACATGTTACATGTACAAAGGTGGGGGGAAAAAAACTGAGGATTGAAAGTTGAGTAAAGGACTACACGCAGAATACAAAGTAATTTGGTGATTTCTCTGTGCAAAGCTACCGAACAGCAGGGCCAAAATGTGAATTTTTCTGCACTTTCCTTTGCAATATCTGGTAAAAATGTTACAACATCTGGTTCGTGATTGTGAAGAGCTTTTTTCCTTGCAGGCCTGGCAACAGCTCACATCTCCATGCGAATATGCTTGCCGAAAAATTATTATCGGCCCCTCTTTTCTCAAAATAGACACCTAGAAAATTTGCCACCTCATCGTGCTCATGAGGCCGTTTGCGACATCATATCAAATAATACCGAAACTTAGCAGGCTCCAAATTTTTTGGTATTCTGTGCGTAGTCCTTGAGACGGGTTCAATAAGCTATGAAGCATCTGCCAAGGAAGGAAGAACTTACATTAAGTGACAGGTCTCCAGTTTTTCTTTTCTTTCCCTCACATCCCTACATCAATTTTACATATTGCTCAGCAGTGGTTGGAAAAAGACGGGACAAAACTTTAAGCCACCATGACAACATAGCAGGAAAAATAAAATACCATAAAATATGTTAAACACATGTATAAAACCTCTTGTGAGGTAAATACATAACACAACACAATACAGGCAGATATGCTGACTGGACCTTTAGACAGGTCAAAGGTACAAAGAATATCTCTTAGGAGACTTAATATTTAGCATACTTACACAACACATCCCATGAAAACTCGGTTGCGAGTTGAAAGGGTGTGTTCCTGTCTGCAATAACACTGCATTCCTTGGAGGAATCTAAAGCCTCTCTACTTTTCGTGCAGAAAATGCCAACTTTTGAGCTATCTCTTTTGAGAGGCAATCATTGGTGTGGTGTTTAACAGAGCAATATGGCTGAAATGACTGTTTGCGGGCCAGTACCTCTTGAGAGATCTTCATTTGACAAAGGATCTCTAGGGAGATCTTACTTGGAAACAGATGGCCTAGTATCCACCTCTTCAGAGGTTTATACCATTAACATTTCAGTCATATTTGCCCGAATATCTAGCTGCCAATTGAATAGTACTTAAAATTCCTTTAAATATGGGCTAGTAGCTATGTATTCATTAATTATGAGAGTACAGAAGATTCACACAAAAGAATTCAGTGAGACTAGACTGAAAGAAAGATGATAAAAAAGGATGATTCCCAGTTTTTAAAAAAAACTGAAAGATCTAGAGATCAGCTAGATATTAGAACTGAGGAAAACTTAGATGACCAGGTTAAGTGAAAGAATGTTACTACTAACACGAACCAGGTACACTGGAACAACCTAAAATGGTAATTCTCTTTTGATTCTTTAGATGTGACACAGATTTGCCTGAATTGATACCATGAACATTGTTCCCATGAAGCCAATACAAGACAATGAAATGCATGCAGTGGACCAGATGTCTTGCCCATTAGTGGAGATTACGAAGCAGTTAGGATGTTTTGATATGACTTTTTAAGGCAATGAATGAACCAAAGCTTAACCCTATTGCCTTTATGCCGAGGTTTGTGAGACACTTAAGCTTATCGACTCCTTGGGAGCTTGATACACCATCATAGCAACATATCAGACCGATCAGTTTTACCAGTAAAAATGTAATTAGAACAGTTTTATTTTCATTCCAATGCGTGCTCTATCATACATCCCCAATTTGCTCAAGCTACAATCATATTTAGGCAAGTTATGGCCCAGCACTTGTAAATACTCTCTACTTCACATATTTTCTCTTTCATGGCAAGTTTCAATAAGTTTTCCAATAAGTCTTCAAAAATCCATCGCAAATTTTGAATTGTGAGAGGGTAAAAATTCCAACTTGAGCCATTATGATGCTTCAGGGGTGCAAAAAGTTCTTGATCTCCCACTATTAGAAAGACAAACCCATCTCAAGGCAAAGAACATCTTTTCTCAAAAATTATCAAAGCTATGACCTTTTTTTGGTCCTTTATTTACATTCTGCCTTGATTTAGCGAAAAGCCTGCTAATTTCATAGAGACTTCCAAAGAAACAAGCAATTTTAACATTATTACAGGCTGATCTCCCAATTTTCACAGCCCACCCATTTCTTCACGAGAGTAGCCACACAATCATGATCACATAATTGGGAACTTCCTGCACCCCTGGGACGCTTCATTACAAAATAATGCAATTTTAAGTTCCAGCTCACAAGTAGTGCCATCATATTGGTGCAAAACAAAGTTGCCTCATTGTATGGATTACATCAATTTGTATCATAAATCTGAAGACTTTCAACAGTTGTGCTTTGTACTGCATTAAAAAAATATAACAAAAATGAAATGAACAGAAGGGAGAAAGATTCATCAATTGAAAAACTTATAGGACCTAGATCTTTGTGATAAAACTCAGTGAGCCATTGCCGTCTGTAGGAATGTATTACAAGAGCAAGTGCCTGAATGGGACGAAACGCAGCAAGCGGATGCTTTTGCACCCCTTTAAGAAAATTACTCCACGTTGTGGGACATGTTCATCTACCTGATCCCCTGCTCCTATCATATCTTCAGCGCGATTGACGTGGACACCTTCGGCAATGTTCGGTGACTGTGCATCCATTGCCACTAAAACGTTGCATGTTTCATAATCGAATCCTAAAATTATTAAGCAATACGATTAAGTTTCAGATCCGTCTAATAGGCTGAATTCTTAGAAAGAGGGCATTATTCCTTGATGGAACTCCGCAGATCAACTTCTCTGATAGACCACCTAAGACTAACTTAACATCAGATTTATTTTCCAAACTTCAAAGTGATTCTAGAGAGACTTAAATTAAATTTTAAAAAAAAGAAGTTTAACACCATCCAGCAGAGAAGATCCCTCTCTCAACTAGACCATGAAAGAAGAAACCTCAAAAGTACACGGTCACGAACATTCAGATTATTTTCCTTTGTCTCACCTCTACCTCATCTACAATTCTGCACTTTTTACTTATGGGTGAAGGTTTTAAACGGAGCAACTTTTGAAGATTTTCTTTTAGTTTCCAAACCATTAAGGACCATAAATGGAAATGCATTGTGCCTTTGAGCAGGGTAGCATAGCTCACACTACAATTACTTTTTAACCGAAATGCATTTTGGCTTTAATTCTTGATGACATCATCAAAAGTTGACTTTCAAAACTTTTTCTGGCCTTCAAAAGCAATTTACTTTTCTGAGCTAACTATTCTTCTTCTCCCAAAAGTTACGTTGTTACTGCTGAGAGACTTTGAAACCAGCCAAAGCTTAATCCAAAAGTAAGTATAATGTAAATAGGCATAAAGGTTTAATTCAATTTCATGGTGCAGAAAAGCCTTCCATGACTTCATTCTTTACGTAATTTTAGCCAACTTTGAAAAGTTAATGATTTTGAAAGCTATCATGAACAAGATGAATGGTCTTTAACTGTGATTTCACATGATTCCTGTTTATGTACTGACTATTTCAAATTTAAGTAGCATTACAAGAAAGTCAAATTGATTTACAGATATTCCGCAAAACTAAATCTTGTCACTGGGCGCAGCTGACAGGTAAATAATCAAGCAATTTTAGATATTATGTTTTCACTTTCCAGTTATCTGGCCCGTTTGTCAAATTTTTGAATGGTCTAAAAGCCTCCGATGAATAAATTCTTAAGAACAGAGATCTGTTAACATTGGTCTGGCAAGAGCAGATAATATCAAGAGATAAAACTATGGCCTATTTAGAGGGAATAAGTGGCATTAGATGATTATATTCAGTGAGAGGTCTTAAGAAAATTTGACCGTCCCGGGCAGTAGAAAAAGACAACGAACACCTATGACAGAGCTATTACTAGGACCGACCGTCAGAGGCAAAAACAATTTTCAGACTTTTAAAGTCCTTGAGCAGCAGAATCTTGAAAAGTGACTCATTAGATTTTTCTGAAAAGAAACGCATCACTGATAAAATTAAACTCAGAAGAAAAAAAAGAAAAAGAAAAAAAATGGAGCTGACAGTTGGTTTTAAAAAAATAAAGAAAAGAAGAGAAAAAAGAAAAAGAAACAAAAATATGAAATCTCGCAGGAGAAAAAATAATTCTCATTTCATTCTTCTAACATCTGTGAAATCTTATTCTAGCAAAAATTATCCAGATGGACCGAATTTAGAAAGGAAAAAGGGTAGAAAACGTCTTTGACAAAGGGTAATTACCTTTAGAGGAATCATCGTAGCCTATGTGTTTAATTGTATCTCGCACGACCTTTTGGTAATCAACATTTGCCTTGGACGTTATTTCTCCACAAAGAAGGACCATTCCAGTTTTCGTCACAGTTTCTAGAAAGAAAAGACAAAATAATCTGAATTATTAATGTGAGACTCGACAAAACTTTTGGTAGATGTGAAATATGATGAGAGACTGAGGTTCTTATTTTTTTGACGAAATGAATTTTCCTCGAAGACAAGAAAAACAACATTGGGCAACATTTTCGACCTTTCCATTATCTAAAAAATTTGAAAAGAGAATCAAGTTCCAAATATTTAAAATAAAGTAAAGGGCAAAATAAAAGAATGCAAAAAACAGTAATTTCCTGAGAACACGACCTTATTTTGTTATGCAATGGTTCTGGCTGGTGGCTCTTACATAACTACCTACATTAAATGAATGCTGTACTGAGGCTTACATAATAAAGCTCTAGGAGCATGATAAAATTATGCTGTAAGAAAGGATTTTACTGGCCACCCATGTTTAAGAAACTCTTTCCTATCTGTTGAGATACGAAGACATGAGAGAAATCATTTTATGGGGAATCAGTTTAATGTGATATAATTTCTGTTTTTCATTTATCTCTTCTTATTTGAAGACAAAATAAGAATTGAGTACAATAAACCCGCAGAGGGTGGAGGAAAATTTCACAACAAAGTTAGTATGAGTACAAAGTATTGATGATGTGAATAAAACGGAGAGATCATCTCAACATCCCAAGGGCTATATGGATTTTGGGAAAGAAATACAGGCTACATCTTAAAAGCGCAATGTAACTCCAAAACAACTGTGCTTGAAAAACAAATCAGCGGGCCGATTATTGAAAGTTTAAAGCAGCCCGATTAGATATTGAAATGCGATATTTTGCATAGTTAAAATAGGACTATGTTTTGTCTTGTCTTGTCACGAACTTTCAATAATTGGGCCGCTGAACATGTTAAATAAACCAGCTTTGTAAGGGAAATTCATGGACAAAACCATTCATAGACCCTTGATTGGCAGTTAGAAACACTTGATAGCAAGGAATAACACCATTGTTCAATTGAGTAATTTACTGTAATAGGACTTACAAGACACTGATTCCTCTTTGATATTAGAGGGAATAGACAGGAGCCATTCCAGGCTTGGGTAAACCCAAGTAGAAAGCTGCTACCAACTATACCCTTCATAAGTCATGAGCAACCAAAAGAAAATGTTGAAAAAATAGACAACGTTGCGCCACCACAGAGATGATGGACACAAAATTTAGAGGCCAAATTTTACCAAATTTTAGAGGAATGAGCATCAGTAAGTACACATTACTAATATTTCTGTCCCTCTCAAGGCAAAAATAAAGACAATCTACATCTTGCCTATGGGCTAGACTCCATCGAAATTGGCTGGAGACTTGTTTTAAACATTCTGTTTTGAAGCTTAACCTAACTTTCATAGTTACCTCTAGACGGTGCGTTTATGGTATTTATTGCGAAGTAATTTGAGTCTAAGTGACTAGGTTTTCTCACTGTGTAAATCTACTATGGATGAGAGCATTAAATCATCACAAAGGAATGACAGTCGGGTCTGTAATAAGAGGTTTTAATAAATCTTACTACTAATCATCACTCACCACAGGCAACTTTTGCATCTGGATCTTCTTTCAGATGGGCGTCAAGGATAGCGTCACTGATTTGATCACACATTTTATCTGCAAAAGACAAAATGAAAAGATGATGTCAGCACTAGTCAGATGATACGGTTTAGGCTGGAAAAACTGAATCACTCTAGAAGAACCTCAATAATTTGAGACATATTCAAGGAAAACAAATTATTTGACTTGCTCTAGTTGGCTCAACAAAGCAGACCACGGCCTGCCAATTCATTGACCCGGAAAATACCTGTGGGTAAAGTCCTATACACCAACATAGAAATTGACTTGAGCCAATTAAATTAAGATTACTGGATAACATTTATCGAGATGTGCTGAGAGCTCCAGCATGATGGTATCATTAACAAATTCATTCTTCTGAACATTCCCATTTGAGCAGACATTGGATAATAGGAAGTACTGATGGCAACTAGCTGTCTGTTCTGTCAACGTGAGATATGCATACTTCAAACTTTGATCGGTATTAATGATAAAACCTCGGCATTACTTGAGGATTTGCAAAATTGGTGAACTCCTGCAGGATGTAAGTAAGTTTTCATTGCTACAATTACTTAATACTACATGAATAACACAACAGCTTCTTGTTCTCGGCTAAAACCTTTTGTGAACATCCTTAGATATAATTCTGGAGATGATATTCATTTAGACACTTCAATTATAGGATGGGGTGGACTGAGAGAGGTCATCGTTTGAGGCGCCAGTTTCATGAAGCCCTGTAATTTCAATAGGCTCATTGGATGTTAGAAAGGAACAAAGTCGACTTCAGACATAGTGTTCTTCATCAGCCGAGGGGTTGAATTTGATTGGACATTCGCAACTGAAATTATGCTAGCCGTTAAGAGGAACGACCGCGCTTCAGTCCCATGCTGCAATACAAGTTTGTCTAGGTTAATAGGACAATCAGATGTCTGTACATAGAGCAGCCTAAATTACAGTGTGAGGATTTGGAAGGTGAGTCTGCCAACGGAGAGCACAGCAACTGTGCGAAGTTTTTACGTCGAAGCATTATAATAAGTGAACTAAAACGATTTGGGATATGAGATGTCGGCCACTAGCGGCGTATTAGCAAATGGTGCGCACATGTTCCCAAAACGCTGCACATCCACCATGATGTTCCAAAGGGGAAGGGGCCAGACAAGCTAACACTCATACCTGGATGTCCTTCTCCGACCGATTCGGAGGTGAAAAGAAAGTTCTCGCCATCAGGAATTTCGGGCTCCATGTGTCCGTTTCCTTGGTATCCGTTGACGAGAGAAGTTTCAGGCATTGTTAATCCGAGATCTGCACAGGGTCAACAAACAACACAACATGAACACTTTGAACACAGCGAAGGAAAGAGCGAGAAAGAGGTTGTCACGTTGAGGCGCGCATGCTTTTATACCAGATAGTCACGTGATGAAGGGGTTCTATTTTACTTTGCACTCATTGGTCAATGCCCGCCTCTTCATTTTCCCCGCGAATTCCAAACCTTGCGGAGCCGCTTCAAAGCGCCGCACCGCGGTCGCGAGCGCACAATATCTTAACTCCAAAACTATTAATGACGGATAAAACAAATCCCTTTAATGGTTTAAAAACAACTGCTGAAAGTCTACCTTTTCATGTTTTTACATAAAAATAGAAAGCAGCACAGGCATTAAAAATATGTTTGCTGACTTCGCGATGTATGATAGTGATCGATACGGGCGATCTTGCAAAGCCAGCACAACCAGCATTGTGCAACAATAATATGATATAAGATACATCTGTTTTTAAACCATCATGACATTATATTCTTATTGACAAGGCTTTTTTCTCCAACTCGAACGTATTCTCTTTAAGCAAGGAGGATAGGTGGTAAATAAAACGCACGCCTTGAATTGGGAAAATCACAAAATAATGATTCCAAGATGACTATAGCACGACAGCGCAGCTTTCAGAGAAGGGCCAGTCTCGAATGCCAAATTTTACATAAAGGAACTAATTATCATCATTTTTGACGAGGAACAATACGTGATTTTTTTCTCTTCTTTTTAATCAATGCCCATAAAAAATTTCGGAATACGGTATCATTTAAAAAGACGGAACGCACGTAGGTAAGTGTTAATTACAGTCAGTCAACAATTTTTGGTTTCTTTTAAACTCAGCATCCTTCTTTAAAACAAAAAAGGAAAAAGGCACCACCAAGAGCAATGGCACACTTTGCTGTGCCCAGGGATGGATGACCGGAGCAAAATATGTACCCCTATAGATAGACTAATTTTCGAGGCATCTCTTTGATACCCAACTGTCGGTGCGATTTAGAAACTAAATTTTAAGCAGCTTGGCCTCATCTTGGAATTACCCATTGAAAAAAATATTAAGGTGATTCGATGGACGCCATATTCTGTGTCAGAACGACATGTGATCTATCGCATCGATTGGTTTCATTTTTTCAGCTTCTCGTCATTTGTCTCGAATTATGAGATCGCAATTCTGTTGTCAGGATACTAGAGAATTCACTTGCCAATTTTGACAGGCAAATTCAACGTGATAAAGGCATGATTTTTTTAGAGGAAAATATAGCGTTCATCAAATCACCTTAAGGCCAATAAGTAATTTTTGTTAATTCTGGCCTGCATAATATCGATTTCTGAAGTAACTTTACGTCGATGCAAGATACTTTTGCTGAGGAGTCGGTATAGGTAAGTGTATATGAGATTAAAATATAACTCCATGAATGTACGGGTGTAAGAATGTACTTAACTTAGTGTTTAACAAAATTATGATATCTTCCCAGGGCCCGAATAATATTGCAACAATAAGCCGAATAACTTGGCTGCTTGAATTTAAAGAGGAAACACGCTTAAACTTTATCTTCATTTGATAACTTTCCTCTAATCGCCTCTCCGCTCTACTCTGCTCCCTCCCCTCTCGTTGTCTCACTCAAATGATTCGAATGCCATTCATCCAGCAGGTATCTGCCATCGCATCATAGATAAATGCAGAGCTTTCGTTTGCATAGTTCATCGAATTCTGCTTGATCTTGAAATTTCAAAGTTTAAGGCGATACTTGCATCATTCTGAATAGTATGAATTCCTAGAAAAGAATGACATAAGTTCGTTTCAGCCTTGCTTAATGAAGCTGTAGGATAAACGAATACCTACCATATTCTGAATTGATGGCTAGAAAAAACGTACTTGGATTTAAAGGAGCGGGTATCAAAAGTTTTACCCGTCCTACGTGTTGGTGCCTACTTCATACTCTTTTTCTGCTCTTTTTAGGCGAAAATTCAGTCGCACGTGGTGATAGAAAGCAGACTAGTTAAGTAATAACGATTTTTCCGCCAGAAACTGTGAATTGTTTTGAATGAAGTTGGGTGTAGATAAAAAAATAATCGTAAAACTAAGTTGGTTGCTAGTCATCATAGCCCCTTGGACATTTTGTCTATGCAAGTTACGGGAAAATTGTAAAATTAGACATTTCAATAAATACACAGGCAAATACCTGCCTAGTTTAATGTTCTCGCTTGTTTTGAAATATTGATTCTTTTGCTAACTTCAAACAAAATAATTATTTGCTCATGTAGGAAAGAACCCCTGGTAAAAATTGGCGGGAGGAATGGGAGGATCTGTGTTCCAAAATACTACAGACCTTCACTGCCGTGCTAAAGAAGAATGCCGTATGAACCTTCAGGCGTTGCCAAATTGTCTTCGGTAAAACACGAATTCCCTGGTAAACTTATGAATTCCCCCCCCCCCCCAATTTTTCAGGGAATATTCTTTGTAATTTGATCTATAATACCTGAAAATTTCAAGGGAAAATATTCATAATTTTCCTCATAAATAATAATTTTATCCAAGGAAATTTGGCAACTCTCGAATGTTCATACGGCGTTCTTCCCTACCCTGGTAAAAATTGGCGATAAGAGCTGCGTTTCAAAATACCATAGGAATTCTTATAGCTAGCTAAAGAAGGCTACAGAAAATCATATAGCTGGCTGTAGAATGCGGAGAAAATCATACGGCTATACGAAGCGATAAAAAATTATGCAGCCGGGCTAAAGTTCCTATCGCTGGGCTTTACACTTTCTCGCCTGGCTGTTGCTTTTTCGCTATCGATTATAAAAGGCTATACGAAATTGTGTAGAAATTCGTGTGCTTTGGAAATCATTAAGTTTGGTACAGAACCACCTTAATATTTACAAACCACACATTATATTTTCCTTTAATACATATTTGTTTTCATCAATTAAAATGAGAATAATCCATACAGGATGTGCAAACATTTCAAAATCATGAGTTGAATAACGCTGGCTCCGCCAGATTAAATATTAGAGCCTAACACAAAGCGGAGCGGCGACGCACTGGCGCCTACAAACCTAACAGGGATACTTCACGCATTGCGCAACGCGTGAAGTATCCCTGTTAGGTTTGTAGGCGCCAATGCGCTTTTCGCGCTGGCTGCCCGCCTGCCGCGCCGCAGCGTGCCACGGCGCTTGAAGCAACTATTGCACACCAGAGGTATTGCACTGTATCATACGAAACTGAAGGCGCTCTAATATATTAGGAATGACAGGCATCCATCAAAACATACGGAGCTTTCCTCGCAAAATAAATCAAGATACTACGGCCCAAAAAGAGAGCAGTAGTCCAAAAACTCACCAAGTCCTAGCATCTGTAATTAGTAACGTTTAGCATACACTTTATCGTCTGGTTGTTGCTTAGTCGCCATCGGCTATAAAAAGCTACAAGAAATTGTGTAGCCGGTTATAGAAGCTATTGGAAATCTTACAGCCGGCTGTAGGTCTATGGTACTTTGGAACACATATTCTACTGCCAATTTTTACCAGGGTAGCATTTGCATGGCAGTACAGCCGGCTGTAAGATTTCCTATAGCTTCTTTAGCCGGCTATACAATTTCTTGTAGCTTTTTATAGCCGATGGCGACTAAGCAACAACCGGGCGATAAAGTGTATGCTAAACGTTACTAATTACAGATGCTAGGACTTGGTGAGTTTTTGGACTACTGCTCTCTTTTTGGGCCGTAGTATCTTGATTTATTTTGCGAGGAAAGCTCCGTATGTTTTGATGGATGCCTGTCATTCCTAATATATTAGAGCGCCTTCAGTTTCGTATGATACAATGCAATACCTCTGGTGTGCAATAGTTGCTTCAAGCGCCGTGGCATGCTGTGGCGCGGCAGGCGGGCAGCCAGCGCGAAAAGCGCATTGGCGCCTACAAACCTAACAGGGATACTTCACGTGTTGCGCAATGCGTGAAGTATCCCTGTTAGGTTTGTAGGCGCCAGTGCGTCGCCGCTCCGCTTTGTGTTAGGCTCTAATATTAGCCGATGGCGATAAAGCTATACAGCCAGGCGATGAACTGCATAGCCCGGCGATAGGAACTATAGCCCGGCTATATAATTTTTATAGCTGTACGATTTTCTTCGCTTTCTACAGCCAGCTATATGATTTTCTATCGCCTTCTGTAGCCGGATACATAAGAATTTCTACGGTATTTTGAAACGCAGCCCCTATTGTGGCCCGCAGTGTCAATTTTTACCAGGGATTCTACGTTAAAATTTTTCAGCATGCGAGTACAATGGCAGGTACTTAAATCAATTATTTCTAGTCCTTAAACGAGCAACCAGGTATCTCAAAATTTGAAGCATATCATAAAATACCAAATTCATAAAAGTTGGCTGACGAAATATATGAGAAGCGATTGGAGGGTAAAATGCATGAATAGTTCATTGAGATAATGTATATTGTTACTCTCAGACCTGTGAAAACTCATGAGCTCCTGGTAAAAAAAAACGCACGAAACTTGACAGACTATCGAAATTTGACGATCGCCCCTATAGGCATTTGATAAAACGCGTGCTTTAAGTATTTGCCTGTGAATCATACCAATGCGCGTCTCGTGACCGAATTAAAATCCCTGCCTAGATTCGCAATCATGAGCCTAAAATAAATTTCATTTGTACGTTTAAATACATTTCAGGCTCTCAATTCCAAGAGCAGATGACAAGAGACGACTCACTGCAGAAAATAATATACCGTGTTGTCCCCTGCATGTTAACTACTAGGTATACGTATATTTACACACGTATACTCACACTCACCTCCAGTCATGCTGTATCGGCTCCAGATAAGATATCCTTAAATCTACGGTGAAAAACCACCGGCTAGGCAGGAATCGATCCGACGCTCACTGAAAAAGCGCAATTAAAATTCATGAATACATAAAATAGGTCAGGGCATCGAAAAAAGTTGGAGATTTGATACGTTTGGGAATTTAAAAGAATTGAATGGCAGTCTGGAAAAACGACCGTGACTTATCTTTTTCTTATTTTTTTTTTACAATTATAAATAACTAGCGTTACGATCAAGGAACCAAGAACTAATTAGCTGGATGGGGCAGAAAAGGGCTTCATTAGGGAGGGTCTGAGGGCCTTAACAATATCCCACTAACTATGCTTTGTGGGAGTCTTCAAACTTCAAAGGAAGGTTTGGGGGATATATATAGCTCCGACGGGGAGTCTGGGCGAGCCTCTTCAGGAAAATTTTTAAAAAATTGGGTCTCAGGAGCAATTCAGAGTCTTTATCAGTTATTACCGATAAATTGATTGAATTAGAATTTTAAAGATAAAACATGTCATGCCACACACCTTCTGTAGCAAAATGCCTCACATTTTTTGGGTGGGGCCTAGTAGTGAACCCCATAGTAGGTACCTTGATACCTACGTAGTACCCAAGTAGTGCATTAATCATAGCTTCACTAGAGAGCTTATTCTCAAAAATTGTTATACCCTGAAATTCCCGAGTACGGTCGAGCATATGCGCTAGGCAAATTATTATTCATCAAGTAAAAACATCCGTTATATTTTGTAGCCCATGTATGAGTAGTAAAAATCATGATATGATCAGTGACGAAGCGTGAATGATCGATCATCGATTTATCCCCATTTGAAGCCATGGTAAAGAATCGATTATTAAGGTGTTTCTTGCAAACACCTTGTTTATCGATTCTTTTCGGTAGGTCTGTGTAGATGGCAGATTAATCGATTTATCGCAAAACACGCCATGCCACTGATCATGATCTAAGTTACCGACCAAGGCCGTTCACAAATAATGTCAGGCACTTGGGGGCAGGGGCAGGGGGAAATTTTTACAGGTGCCTCAAAAGTGGGGGGTGAGACGGTGGGTTGGGGAGGGGAAGGGTCAAGCCAGATCTTACGGTAGGTCTCGAATTTTCGGTCGGAAATCCTCCAACTTGTGTATCTATCTTGAAGTCAAAATGAATAAACATGCCGAAAAATTTGAAGAGTTGAAAAAAGGGAAAGCAAGGAAGTGGTAAAATTGTTTAGACAATGCCTGTCAACAGATCGAATTATGCCGCTATTATTTCCCTTGGCACCGTTTTTGCTTGTCCTTGGGAGGACAATGGATGGCTTCACCTCTTCAAATATTCAGATAATGATTATAATTTTCGGATTTAATCATTGTTTTACCTTTATTCTTGAAATAAATTATTTCCAAGGCAGAGGTGTATTTTTTTATTTTCTTCTTTTTAAAAATAATTTGAAATTGTTGAGCATCAGCACGGAAGGAATAGTGGACTTTATTTAACTTGACAGGTGTCAACTCTATGTAGCAGGAATGAATTACGAAATAATTTCATTAATTTAACTTAGAATCCTGCTGTTTAGGCTCTAATAGCGTTGACACACCACAACCTCTGTTTTTTATTTATTTTCTTCCTTAAATTTTTATACAGGGTGTCTCACGAAAAAGGAGCCACCTTGAATATCTGCCGAACGCGTCGGAATTTCGAAAAACGGTAAAAGACGTGTTCGTTTATATCGAGGGGGACACCTTTTGGCGTATTCGACATTTTCCCAAACCGCGGGAGGGGCGCGGGGCGGGGGGTGCCCCACCCGTAAGTCGAACTTTTCAAATGGCACCCCTACTTTTTTATTTCAGAAATCAATTCTACGCAAAAAAACAAGCCACCCTGTCCAAACCGAATGTAAATCGGAC